TGCAGACTTTGGTTTCTCTAACACTGTGGCATGTCCCCTTTCTTCTACACTCACTACATACACCTTTTCTCTGTCCTAGACTATATACCAGGAACTTCTGCCTGCTAGTAAGATGATAATGAGACAAGTGGACACATGAGTGCTAGGGGACAGTCCTTAGAAAGCGCGGATTTATGTCAAGCTCAGGGTGCTGCCCGCATAGTATGCCCTTAGTTGGACAGCCTGCATGATTGGCAGGCAGCCTGACATGCATTCATGCCAGGCTGGCCTCCCAATTCTTTGGACAAACATGCCCCCTTTTTGGGCATGTTCACCCCTTTTGGCAGGTCTGGTCACGTGATTCGCGCCAGTGGCACACCCTTTTACCCTGCACATTGACTTCCTGCTTCACTGGACAATACTATTAGGGGATATGGATTTACTTGAAAGATAAAAGCATAAATTAGAGAGAGATTAGCATAGAGTATGTGTTTTTGTATAGCTGCATCCTTTGAGTTTCCCTCCAACACCATCTCCATCAAATACATGATGCTCGGGACATATATATGTTTTAGTGTTTTTGGTTGATAAGATTCTGTAATTAGGCCCCATCATAATTGTCAGCACCAGGCCCACTGGGCTCTTAATCTGGCCCTGGCTAAGGGTGGTTCCCAGGTGGTTATGAATAAAAGTGATTACGTGGAGGAAATTCAAAGCCAACTGTATGATGTTGGAACTTGCATTAGATGCAATAAAAACTTTATTTAGGCTTTTCAGAATAAGATCATTGATGCAGATTTTACATACTTGTCTTTTATGTACTCCACATAATACACAGAAACCCACAAATTCACTGAGCTCAGAGTTTCAGAACATTTCATTATAGAAAATGATTTCAACTTATAGTAAAGGAATCAAATTATTGATCGTGTAGCTCCTTTAAGAAATTGGGGTAATTCTCATTCCTGGGCTACCATATGATTTCAAAGCCAACATAACTAATCTGGCAAATTACAATGTAAAAAAACTGAAATGTATCTTTGATCTCCCCACTGGCCCGTCATGGAACACAGCGGGCCCGGCGCTCTGATGGCGCGAGCCCTGCATGGACCGGCTGGGGAGGTCCTGTGACCTCCCCTGCCAGCCTCGGCCCGTGGCCATCGCGGCTCACCGGGCATTTGCCTGGTATTCCCAATGGGCATTTCACCGGGCATTTGCCTGGTATTCCCAATGGCCAGTCTGGGCCTGTTGTGGAGGTGCTAACCACTCTATACCAAGAACATCCCTCAGGATTTTCCATTTTGGAGATGCTCTGACCCAGTAGTCTAGCCATCATATTTAATCCCTTGTCAATATCACTCAGATATCCGCACTGCCCATTTTTCCTGTTTCCAACACATGAAATTCACGAACTGACTGTTCACTTGCTGCCTAATATATCCCACCCCTTTACAGGTGCCGTTATATAACATTATAACGTTATATAATGTTATTCGCTTCTCCTGTCGGTGGTTCTAATGTAGCGGCTGATCAGTGGATGTTATGACATATCTCCACCTGTTAGAGTAGTTGTTATCGAAGTTTGTTTTGGGCTTTCTGAACCTTGCTGGAGTGGTTGGATGGTTGGATGCAGATAGCTAATAACTAATGCTCTTCTAATAACCAATATCAAAAACTTATTTTTTTAATAGCACCGTTGAAAAAGAAGCAGAAACATCAAGGACCGAAATGAATGCTCTGTCATATATTTATGACTCATGTAATACGTGCCTGGAATGTTCTGAATTTCACTGTTGCTAGGTTACCATCCACGCACAACATCAGGTGCCCAGACTTCTCTACCTGTTGAGTTGCATTACTTTGCACAGATTACATACAGTTACAGAAAGCTTCTAAATTGTTCTACCCCCACAAAAAGAGAAGTAAAACTGTAATTTTTTTCAATATAGGTTCTTTTTAAATTCAGAGTTAAATTTACATGACAAATAGCATCTGGGACAGTGGAATTTTACAAGGAGCCTTGTGACTAGATCAATATCTTTTTTTTAAATAAATTCTTTATTTATTTCTATGTTTTGTTTTTTGGGGGAAATGGGGTCAGAACGTTTACATTGCGAGTCAGAATTGTTCACAGTGTTTTTCTCATGGTAGTAACAGTGCGGAGAAAATGAGTGCCTTTTGAGTTACATATTTGGGAGCTTAACATGTGTTTCCGTTAAACAGTGTTATATACATAGATTAGAATTATTTATGTTGTAACCTGGTACATCGTTTTGTAACTCTTGTTTCACGTAGGCATTTAGGCTTTCGCGTGTCTCGTGGTTGGGGGTGAACTTGTCGTCTTGCAGTTGTGTGTCTTTCCTGAACTTTATCGTCGCTGTCCTGTTTCATAGGACATTTTATTGTTGCGTGTCTCTATTTGAGTGGGGGGTGGGGTGGGGGGGTATTGAGCAGGAGCTGTCCGTCTTTTGGACGGGGTAGGGGGGTTCCTATGATGGTCTGTCGGATGTGTTAGGGAGTCGTCCCCAGTTGTGAAGGGGGGGAGGAATGGGGAGGGGAGGGGTAAAGAGGAGGGAAAGCTGTGTGGCAGGCAGGGTGGGGTAGTGGGAAGGTTCGGTGGGTGGGGGGGAGGTGGAGGTAGGGCTTTAAGAGGTGGGGGGTGTTCTTGGCTGGTGGAGTTTGTTTGTTGACCTGGGGGGCTAAGGCGCCAGTATTGTCCTGGTTAGCAATGGGTCCCATATTTTGTGGTACGAGATTGTGGTGTCGTGGACTAGTGCTGATAGTTTGTCCATTTCCATGGTTTCGGTTATTTTACATAGTACCTCTGGTGCAGCCGGGACAGTGTTGCTTTCCCAGTGTTTGGCGATGGTTCTCCGGGTGGCCAACACGATCCGAGCCGACATTTTGTTTTGGGCCCTTGTAAGGGTCCCGTGGGGTTTAGACAGGAGCCAAAGCCAAGGGTCCAGAGGGAGGTTGCTGTGTAGTGCCCTATTGACCATTTGGGTTATTTCCTGCCAGAGTTGGACTATGTGTGGGCAGTTCCACCATAGGTGGATGTATGTGCCCTGTTCGCCACACCCCTTCCAGCATCGGTCAGAGGGTGTTATGCGCATTTGTTTCAGTCTTAGGGGGGTGATGTACCAGCGGAACATGGTTTTGTATGCTTGTTCTTTGTGCATTACGCATATGGAGATTGCCGCTGTGGCTTCCCATATGTCTTGCCAATCTGATGGGTCCGTGGGGGGGCCTATGTCTCTTTCCCATGCCGCAGTGTATTCTAAGGCATCGGGGGTGCTGGTGTGGTGTATGATGCCGTATATGGTAGATATCTGGCCCCGTTGTGTCGGGGTGTCCATGCACATTTTCTCGAAGGTAGTGAGCGTGGTGGTTGCTATTTTTTGGTTGTGTGGGTGGGTTAGGAAGCTCCTGATTTGCAGGAAGCTGAAGTGGTCGAAAGTCGTAAATGGGGTGTTATTGGGCAGTTTTGTGAATGGTAGGAGGTGTTGTCCGCGGAAGAAGTGGTAAAATCGGACCAGGTCATTGTCTTCGTATCTCGCAAAGTGGTGGGGAGTCATCCCTGGTTGGAATTGTTTGTTAAAGGATTGGTGTTAAAGGGGATGGGGTGTTGATGATGTCGTATTTTCGGGTCGTTCTGTCCCAGAGTTGGATCGAGTGGTTGAGTGCTGGTGTCGTGGGGGGGATCTGTGGTCTGTCCTGCCTTGGTAGCCAATGGCACAGTGAGGGGAAGTCCTGACTGAATAGGTTGTGTTCAATGTCGTCGCACAGTTTCAGTCCCATCAGTGTAGGTTCTGAATTTGTGTTAAGTGAGCTGCTTGGTGGTAGTCCCAGAGATTAGGGAGTCCCAAGCCCCCTCTCTTGTGTGGTATATAAAGTGTTGAGCGCTTAATTCTCGCCCTCTTCCCTGCCAATATGAATTTATCAATTCAGGATTGTAGGTTTTTGAAATCTTTTCTGAATATGGGTATGGGCAGGGCTTGAAAGAGGTAGAGGAATCGTGGTAGTAGGTTCATTTTGACCGAGGCCAGGCGGCCTAACCACGAGATGGTCAGGTTGTGCCACATGTCTAGGTCTTGGGTAGCTTTTTCCAGTAGTGGGGGGTAGTTAAGCTGATATGTGAGCTGTAGATCTCCCTGTAAATGTGTCCCCAAGTATTGTATGCTTTGTGTCTCATAGCGGAACTGGTAGTCCGTTTTTAGTGCTGCTAAGATGTCTGTGGGGATATGGATCTGTAGGGCTTCCGTTTTATCGAGGTTCAATTTGTATCCTGATATTTTGGTGTAGTCGTCTAGGAGGGCTATTAGTGGTGGTAAGGAGGTGTCAGGATCTGTCAACGTGAGTAGTAGGTCGTCCGCGTAGGCCGCTATTTTATATTCCTCATTTTGGATTCGAATGCCTGAGATGGTCTCTGTCTGGCGGATTTTTTGGAGGAGGGGTTCTAGCCATAGGGCGAAACGGATAGGGGATAGGGGGCAGCTCTGTTGCGTGCCATTGTGGATTGTAAAGGAGGGAGGTTGAGCGTTTGGTATGAGGAGGTTCGCTGTGGGGCCGTTGTATATGTTTCTTATGGTCCCTACAAAGATTTCGGGAAAGCCCATTCTGTCGAGGGTTGCAAACAGGTAGGGCCAGAGACTGACTAGATCAATATCTTAACTCCTTTATACCACTTGATAAACAGAATCACATGTCGAAATAAGTCGTGCTTTTTAGCTAATATTTCTAAATATCAAAAGTCCCTTTCGGTGAAATTGTTACAAAGTAAAAATCAGCATGAATTTCAGACAAGACAGAATTGGATTTGCACTCTTTACTAGATGGAAAAGTCTCTGCACCAGAAGTGGAAAAATAAGTGAAGCTACTATCTAAGTCAAAATAGTGTTTATGAATATTTTTGTATATATATGCATATGTATATATATATTTATGTAAAGGCTTGGCCTGGAGTTGTGAGAGGGGCATGTGGGACCTATATAGCCCTGGCGATCTGCATGTGAGTTCCAGTGTCACAGCTGCGTGAAATCACCGGCGGGTACCACAGCACAGACTTCCCCGACTGCCAGCGAGATCCCCAGCCACCAGGTCCAGTATCCGACTGGGCCAAGCGTCCCCTCTACCGGACGCATACTCGCAGCACCACGTTCCCGGGTACCGGCTTCAAACCGTAAGTCACGCTGCGGTACCATTCCCCCAGCTTGGTATTCATGTCCAGGGTCGGGTACACACTATATACCTACCTGGTTCCCCCTGCACTGTGTCACTACCGGCTGCGTGTCGAACACGGCAGGAACCACCATATGGAGAGCTGGTGTAGTAAATTTACACTTGCCACGCTCGGCATTCGGTTAGGCGAACGAGTCACATGTTGGGGGGTTAGGGAGTTTATAAAAAAAATAGGTTATACGTACGGTTAAAAGAGAAGGAATTTGAACACATGTTAGTTGACGAAGTGCATGTCACAAATACAGTTTTCTTTCTTTGTACTGACTTATTCTTTCATCATTTAGGAAAGGTTTAAACTCTGCATCCTTGATCAACCTGAACACGTGTTACTAGAGCCAGAATAACAGTTCTTTACCTATAAAATATGCTGCCCGAACAAAACTGGCAACTCTTCAGAGCCAAATTACACTTGCAACTTTCCCTCTATTCATGTCAAAGGCTTTCTTCATAACCTCTACACTGACAGTTTCAGTTACAGTTACTGTTGTCGCCATCTGGTGGCTTTGGGTTGAATTGCTTAAATTGTGATTACTAAGCTAGCATGTTATTCTGCCATTTGGTACAGGGGTATTGGAATACAGGTCTTTCTTATGTTATTGTGTGGGGGGGGTTTAGAATCATTTTACTAAATCGGTTTAGGTCTACAATATTATATCTCGGCACTAGCTGGTTCCCTTAAATTGCTATGGTAAGATATACTGTTCATGATGTCACATATGCATTTCTGCACATTCTACGTTGGAATATTGGGTAATCATATTGTTACAGATTCGAGGTTGCAATTAAGGCAGCATTTTGCCCTTCAGACCTCAAAAGTCCTGTTCCAGTAAGTAGGTGGGGATTTTAGGGGATTATTTATTTAGGAGTACCTTGGCTTGTATAAATTCTAATACATATACTCATGTTTGGTATAGGCCTCTCCTCCCCCCTATATCTTCCTTAGTGGGAGTCACAGAGTCTGTGTCAGGTTACGACTATATTTCTGACTTAAACACTCACGCAAGTGCCTATTTATCACCACAACGTTCCCCACGCCCCTCAATTTTAGGTTAACTGGAGGGCCAGGAGGGCCAATAGTAGTAGCATTTCTGGCTTCTTTGCCTCATTGTACAGTGGTCCCGCGAGGCCAACACCCATCCTCCACTCTTGAGGTAAAAATTTGCCCCTCGTGCCAAATCATTGATAGCCGCCTTGCACGGTTACATAGAGAGGGCCTACCCTGTCACGCCCGTACTGTCTTCTGCTTTAAACAATCACTGATAGGCCAACACCCCACCAAGTTCAGTGGCCACGAGTCCCCTCGCGCCAATGCATAGATAGAGCTTCTCAAGCTGCTTGGCAACTAGCAAGGCCTCACCTGTCACCAACCTAGTGAATTGTTTCAGCACTTGGCACTAGTCAGCCAGGAAAACTACCAGTTTTCTGATATATATTGTTATTTCTTCTAGTATGTCTCAGATCCCTGAAGAAGCGGACGATTTATCTCTCCCCAGTACTGTCAGGTCCATTTTGCCTACTCATAAAGGCGATAACGGTAGCCCGGCATCTATCAGGTCATGGACCATCCCCCGCATCACAGCAGAGCTTTGCAGACGCAGTATCCCTTTCCCTGCTACAGCCAGGAAAGTGGAACTATTTAGGCTCATGCAAACAAATACTGACAACACAGGGGCAGGAGAAGGAACGAGTAGTTCAGGCAACTTGGATCTTCACACCATGATGGCCTCACTTGTAGCATCCATGGGAAAGATTAATGACAGGCTGGATAGAATTGAGGCGCGCAGCCTTCCCCTAGCATCATCTGGGTCCTTAGGTGCCAAACTTCCGGGTCCTCTAAAGCTGCAAGCTGGTAAAAACATACTCTCAGGATCAGGAACCCATGTCGGGTCTCGCAAGAGTGAACTCTAACCCTATATGGTACCTGCAAATCTAAAAAAAGATATCCTGGAAGGCAAAGACGTCAATCTTGTCTCACTACTGATTGTCTCTCATGATATAGTGGAGAATTGCACGTACGCGTATGGGGATATACCTTTTGTGTTGAAGGCTAGGGATCCTAGACTGAGTAAGAAGTTGTCTATCCTGGATTTTGTTATTGCCTTTGGGATTCATTGGGGTGTCATATGCTCTGTACACCCTCAAAGGAGAGAGGAGCTGGACCTCTACTTGCATAAGCTGGTGGACTTAACAAATACGGTGGTACGTCATTCTATGATTACCATCAGTCTTTTTCGGAAAAGGCGTCTGCCATTCTGGCTCAGTTCAACATGAAAACTGATTGGAGCCAAATGGACACTGAGCTGTTTTGCAGGCACTTCGCTGGTTTGAGGACACCAGCTTGTGCAATCTGTGCATCCACTTCACATGCCACGGATTACTGTCCGATAGTACCCGATACCTCTCCTTCTACGGCATTCCCAGGAGCCAGAACCAGGTCCGACAAACCAGTAAAGGATAAACTGGGTCGTGCAATAGTGTATTTAGGAAAATCACAGGTGTGTAATAATTTCAATTAAGGTATCTGCGGTTATAATGCATTCCGCTTGTTGCATGTATGCTCTCACTGCTTTAGGGCACATGCAAAGTGTTCCCATATAAGATGCATTCTAAACTTTATCTGAGCTCGGTGAATGTTGACTCTCTGGCGGGCTCATTAGCTTCTCAGCCTTCCACACACTTGGTCGATTTCTTGAATAAGGGCTTCACACAGGGTTTCCATACCGGTCTTATTCACATCCAGCAGGCGTTGTGGAATGCAATATCCTCCAATCAGCTTTGGCTGATACTGATACGGTTGATACCCTGTTGCAACAGGAACTGGGGGAAGGATTTGTATTAGATCCATTCAAGGAACCTCCGTTCTCCAACTGGAGGACTAACCCAGTAGTTGTGGTCACTGGGAAGTCCACAGCCAAACAGAGACTGATCATTGATCTCTCCGCACCTCACTCTTTAGGAATCCCTAGCCTTAGCTCCTTAATTCCATTGGAGGAGTTTTCACTACAGTATGCCACATTAGATAATGCAATTAACGCCATTATTACAGCAGGGGTTGGAGCCTCGCTCAGTAAAATAGATATTGTTAACGTCTTCAAATTACTACCAATTAAACCATCAACCATTTACAAGACTCACCTTCGGTTCGAAGAGAAGCCCAAAAATTTGCAACACGTTCGCTGAGACCTTGTGTTGGCTTCTGTTGAACTCATGCAGGTGCCATTCAATTATTCACTATCTGGATGATTTTCTATTTATCGAAAACAATTCCTCTCCCCCAAATGATTTGACCAAAGCCATTCAGTTATTTCATTTTCTAGGTGTTCCAGTCTCTCCCAAAAAGACTGAAGGTCCGGACACCTTGGTTAGTTTCCTGGGTATACACTTTGATTCTGTGGCCATGGAAGCTAGTCTCCCGTTAGGGAAGATTGATAATATCCTACAGATTATCAACCAATACATGCAAGTGGGTACCTGCCACTGCAAGGAGTTACAATCTCTGTTAGGTTCCCTTAATTTTGCCATAAGGATTATCCCACAAGGGAGAGCCTTTATCGCTAGACTCCTTAGCCTACTTCCCAAATTTGCCAACGATCATAGTCGTATCCACCTTGATCCTCAGGCTACTGCTGATCTATTCATGCGGCACAAATTCCTCTAACACTGGAATGGAAGAAGTATGTTTCTCCCACAGTTGTCGATACATTCCCCCGTCATCTGGACGGATGCACCAGCTACCACAGGTTTTGCGGCCATATTTGGTGATAGAAGGCTCTGGGGTACTTGGCCAGAAGAGGTGCAGGATATTGAAGTGATCTTCTGCAACTTGGCCTTATTCAAGGTATATCTCATCATTGCGGCAGCTGTAGCATGGGGCCAATCATGGGCTGGTTGTTCAGTGTGATGTCTTTCCGACAATCTAGCGACATGCCATATCATAAACAAAGGGCGTTCATCATCCCTGACTATTATGAGGTTCATTAGGAGACTGACTTGGTTAGCTGCCTGTAATAGTTTTTATCTAGTTTGTTGTCATGTTCTGGATATTTTCAATACAGCAGCTGACCAATTGTCCCGATTTAAATTTCAGGGGAGCAGAGAGAGCACAGCTCCCTCACTGCGTCTCACAGGAAGACACCCGCCTGCTGCACTGAAACCCCACTGGACCCCAAGGACAGGTCCACGCCAGCTCTCCAGGTAGGGAGGCTGGGTGGACATTTTTAACCCCTTAAGGACCAAACTTCTGGAATAAAAGGGAATCATGACATGTCACACATGTCATGTGTCCTTAAGGGGTTAAATTTAAAAAAAATAATAATAATTTGTGAGTGTGTGTGTCTGTGTATGTGTCTGTGAGTGTGTGTGTCTGTGAGTGTATGTGAGTGTGTGAGTGTTTCTGTGAGTGTGTGTGTCTGTGTGTGTATGTGTCTGTGAGAGTATGTGTCTGTGAGTGTGTGTATATGTGAGTGTATCTGTGTGTGTGTGTATCTGTGTGTATGATCATATGTGTGTGTCTGTGAGTGTATGTGTGTGTCTGAGTCTGTGTGTGCACCTGTCAGCGTGTGTGCATGCATTTATATATGCATACAAGTGTATATTATTATTTTGTTGGTGGGGGGGCAGTGGGGGTGGATCTTGGGTGGGTTCCCACACTTTATTCCCCAGGACTTGACCCCTGAGCAGGGCCGCCATAAGGGGGTGACAACTCTGGCAGTCCTGGGCCCCACTTTGTTTCTCTGCACACATAGATAGTGAATCTCGCTATCTATGTGTGCAGCCGCGGGCCCCCGGCTCCCTGTTACCGCAGAGGGGGCCCAGGCAGCACACAGCTTCTCCTCCTCTCTTCTCTCTTCTCATAACTCTCGCGAGACCCGGTTACCATGGCAACGCTCCGCGGGTCTCGCGAGAGTTATTAGAAGAGGAGAAGCTGTGTGCTGCCTGGGCCCCCTCTGTGGACGGTGACAGG